GGTGATCCTGTGGTCGCTCTGGGCAGCTCGTCTGGTGAGGCAGCCCACGGTGCCGGTCCGAGTGACTGGTGGCTGGCTACGAGGAGAAGTGGCTCATGATGGGTCTCACAAGAGGTATATGGCAGTGCCTTACGCAAGTCATCCTGCCAAAAGATTTCTGGTAAGACAAAACGCTTTGTCCATAATCTAGTTTTATAGATATTGGTAGCATTTGTACACCAATAAGTAAATTACACACACACACACGGGAAAATTAGAGGAACAAAAAAAAAGATGTAATTTTTGAAAACCTGTGGGTAATTCGACAGGTGCTTGAGTTATTTGAAATAGTACCCTTCTTATATATAATATTATAACGCTTTTTGACCTTTTCTAATCTCTTAGCTGAAATTATACCCTCTTAAGTGTTTTTTTGCTATAAATGTTTTTGATAACGAAGTTCGTTTATGTAGTCAATTATATAGTTACTATTTGCGACTCTGTCTGCATTGACGAAAATGTGACAATGAATCGCAAGAGTGCGCAAAACATGAAGTAGTATCATGGATCAAAATCAAATTTTATTATCAATATTACTCGTAAAACATAAATTAAATCTGTCCAGCGTACTTGAAATAATTCACAACGAATTGATCTTCAATTACATTCAATTTTTGACAATAAAATGTTCTATCAAAAACCCCTAAAAACATAAAATAAATATTTGTATAATTAAATGAATAAGATAATAATATTTTTGTATCCCTCAAGGCTCCCGGTCCTGAACCCACGTGGCAAGGTGTGTTCGATGCAATAGATGAAAATGTTCGATGTTTACAAGATCCTAGAAGCGGAAAGGTTGAAGGGGAAAAAGAATGTCTTGTTGTAAATATTTATACCCCAATGGATGCCACGATTGGAACAAAATATCCAGTCATGGTGTTCATACATGGAGGAGGTTTCTTTGAAGGATCGGGTGGCAGTACTTTGTATAGTACATATTTTCTAGTTACTAAAGGTGTTATTGTCATCACTATGAACTATAGACTCAATATCCAGGGATTTGGATGTTTGAGGATAAAAGAAGCTCCTGGAAACGCTGGAATGAAAGACCAGGTAGCTGCTCTAAGGTGGATTCAAAGAAATATTGAAGTATTTGGAGGAGATACCAATAGTGTCACCATTTTTGGAGAAAGTGCTGGAGCGGCATCCGTATCTTTACACATTCTTTCCCCAATGTCTAAAGGTTTATTCCATAAAGCCATCATGCAAAGCGGATCTGCCTTAGCATCATGGGCAATACAATTCAAACCAGTTTTTATGGCTAGTCTATTAACAAGAGTAATGGGATACTCAACTATAGATCCCTATGAAATTTACAAAATATTGATGGCAAAATCTGATGAAGATTTAATATTAACTAGAGTACCTAGAAAAGAAAATAATATTATTTTATCCGAATGTCTTTATTCACCATGCGTGGAACATATAATAGATGGTGTCGAGCCTTTTTTAACAGATATGCCATATAACTTGCTTTCTCAAGGCGAATATAATAAAGTTCCAATAATGATTGGTTCTAATAATGCCGAAGGATTACTTTTCGCAAATATGGAACCCGAAGAAGTGATACCTAAAATAATGTTAAGGAAGTCACTACCGAAAAATTTAGACATACCACATGAAAAGCGTATTGAAATTGACGAAAAACTAATGAAGTTTTATGTAGGTAATGAAAAAATTTCACTTGAACATTTGGCAAATATTTCAAGATTTCATGGTGAAGCATATTTTACTGTATCAATTTTGGAAGAAACCGAATTATATTTAGAGACAAATGACCATCCTGTATATAGTTATCTTTTTAGTTACGAAGGCCAGAGAAATTTTCTAAAAAAAACATTACGAAAAGAGCTCAAGGACGTACCAGGTGCTACTCATGCTGATGACATTTTCTACTTATTCAATATGCCAATTGTCCCATCGTTATTTGAGAACAAGATGATAGATAGAATGACGACGATGTGGACAAACTTTGCAAAGTATGGGTAGGTATTGCCAACACACAAAAACAACAAGATTTATTTCAAATGCACTTTAAACAAAAATATGTTACATCTTATAACTAACTGCATTATATCCTTTAATAATAAAAAGATGTGATAAGTTTTATTTTAATTAGTTTGGAATATTCTTGATAATTAACGCTAAATTACACAAAAATTGTATACCTTTATATTTTTTAATGATCTTCATTCTCCTTTAAAAACAGCTTAGAATGAAATTAGTAACACATGTCAGTTTTTTAGTCAAGTCAATAAAAACATGTTATAAAGATCTTTCGAAACTTATTCTTGTGGCATATGCCACTACTTTATCATGTCTTCTTCATCAAAACTCATTTTATCTACAAATTAAACTATGATTGCCGTTATATTATTTAAAAAGAAAAAAATGTTAACAAAATCTATATTTAATATTAGGAAAAGTATCCTTTACTTTCTAATTAATATTAATTTCATTTCAGGGATCCTACACCAGAAATATCTGATATACTACCAGTGAAATGGCTACCAGCAAACAAAACCTCTCCTTATTCCTTCGTCATCGACAAGGAGTTCTCCACCACTCCTCTGTGGACCACTGATTCTCTCAAATATTTACGAGAAGTGTTTGCCAAGTATAGAAGAAAAAACGACTAATTATATATAAATATATACATATTATGTATGTTCAAAATTTTATATATACATATATTAAATAATTTATATTTTTATAAGTTCTCATTTTTCTTTTCCTTCAAGATTTTACTTAGTACTACGGAAAATAAAAAACAAGAGAAGTGCTAAGTAGGCGTAGCGCACGTGCCACAAATAGGCGTAACAACGCTTATGTGATGCCAGTTGTGCTCTAAAATCGCGCCGGATTGAACGTCTATATACATAATTTATTTTTCCGCAAACATGCCATTTCACTTTTAAAGTGCAAAAATGATAGTATGACGAAGAACCTGATAGGTATTACGTACTGTCGGTAAGTACGATTTTATCTGTTTTCTAAAGTAACTTATTTAATTTCTTAATATGAATTATTCCTTATTATTCCTTAGAATTTCAACTTAAAATCAACTATAAGCTATTACGATAAGGTATATTTTACATAATATTAATTTCTTGAAAGTCAGATAGTGAAATAACTCTTATTTATAGTAAAAAGATCATAATAATTATAGATACTTTAAAAAAAAGTATATTGACTTGAAAATCATCTTTTTTGTTTTTAATATATTATTATTCTTACCGAAGATTATTAAGTGGCTTACCATAGTTTACGAAAACAAGGCTTAAATAAGAATCTTCGGACATATAATATGCGATCAAGGTCACACCTAAACACAATCTAGACAAATTTATAAAATCTGTGCTCAACTTGGCACGCCTTGAAGCCATTACCAAGAAAATGAATTGAATTAAGAAACATAATATTTAAATTGACTGAAAAAGCGCACAAGAGAAGGAGGTAGTCAGGCACGACTTAGAACACAATGGGTGTAACTATTACTTTTGATTCGAAACGAATGAACATACTGGTAATAAAAAATCTAATTAATACCGCGACAAAACCCGAAAAGACAGTTTTATTAATGATATCAAATATTCTAGCCATATCTAAGAAAGTATGTATTATAAAGCAAATAGTTATATAGCACTTAAAAGCATATTAAATGTTACTGTAAGCCGGTAAGGCTGGTATAGATATCTGGACTACTGTTTGACCTAAAACCTAAGAGTCTCAGAATTATGTTTTGATAGGCATTCTTGATGCTTAAATTCACTGTTATTCCCTCAACGACCGCGGACACGCCGGTGTTACAGGTAAAAATAGATTTCTTAGAAATTTCATTAATTTCTTAGTTTACCTGAAGGTGTTAAAAGCCGATCACTACTAATATGTCATTTAAAACAGTAAACATATCGCCACAGCTGTAGACAACTTCGTCTTTCTAAGCAACGTTTGTAAGACAATAGAAAAGGCGCAAGATATTATAGTTTTATACTAAAGGTTTATATAATCCATTATAAAATATGCAGCGCCAAAAAACTACATTTTAGTATACATTTTTTTAAATATCATACCTATACGGATACTTTAAAGTAAACGATTCCACGCGCTTAGCGTAAGACGTCACAGTCATACGCAGAAAAATGACAGACATTTGTAGCGAACAAAATAGCTAATCACTCTGTTATGATATACTCTGACGTCATATTCTCTCTGACCAATGGCGTGCGTTTTAACTACTTTTAAATACCCATCTACATTTGCACTTTTTATTAATTATTTTCTTAATTAAAAAGAAATTACGTTAAAAATATTAATATAGGCCTAATTCAAAAGCAATACACATTATAGAAAACGTATTTCATCTTTATTTAAATCACACGCATATTTTATATTCTAACAAAGTCGTATACATACAATAATAGTGTTAACCCAGTTAAGTATGTTTATAATTTAAAATGAATTCATAAAATTATAAACGAGCATAATATTATATATGTTTGTTTGTCTGTCCTTCATTAAAGCCGAAACGGAACGACTAATTGATGTAGTTTTTAACAAATAGTTTTTTTTTTTAATATAGATAGATAAATTCTATTCATATTATCTTTTCTTAAATTTTCAATAATGATTACAATTTATCATCGAACCACTACGCAAACACTAGTACTAGTATATATCCACAATATAAATAACAAATACAATTATACTGAATACATAATATATAAAAATGATAAAACGGCCTTGAAAATCTGATTCAGTTAGTATCTACACGAAAGCGATTAAAGTCAACCGTACGCGTTGGGGTCGCATAAACAATGTAACAATTTACATTAAATTAATCGTAAACAAAAAAAATCTCACTATTTTATTGAGTTTTCTTAAGTTTGAGCATAGACTTTGATATTAAAATATTACATACAAGTGCTCGTGTTTTTTAAGAGGATGCATTAATCGACATGATGAAGACATGTTGGGTGATCCTGTGGTCGCTCTGGGCAGCTCGTCTAGTGAGGCAGCCAACGATGCCGGTCCGAGTGACCGGTGGCTGGCTACGAGGAGATGTTGCTCATGATGGATCTCACAAGAGGTATATGGCAGTGCCTTACGCGAGTCATCCCGCCAAAAGATATCTGGTAAGACAAAGTGCTATTTCTATAATCTAGTTTAAGCATATTAGTAGCATTTATACACTATTTTACTTGTAAACTAGTTACTTTTGGCGGTTTTGTCAGCGTTGTGTTTGTTTAGTCTACAAATCGTTGTTTTGCAAAACATGAAGCACAAAGTATATTTTAAAAATACTCCATCGATTAAAATCAAACGCTACGGTTTTAATTTACGATATTACTCGTAAAACAAATAGCGCTCATAAAATCCGCCCAGCGTACTTGAAATGATTCACGACTGATTATCTATTATTACATCAAAAATATATAATATAATATAGGTATCTTATTGGTTTGTGATAATATGTAATATGTAATATTTATATATATATATATATATATATATATATATATATATATATATAACAGTAACTTAGCGAAAACTGTACATAGAATATTTTTTAATAACAATGACTGTAACGTATTGTGTACCCCAAAACAATAATTATTTAAATTTTTCTATGTTTATCTGTACGTTTCTTTGTGTGTTCGCGTTTTACGCAAAAGTACCTACTGGACCGATTATTACTAAAATTTGTATAATGATAACTTATTACTCGGCTCTACATTAATTAGTATACCTTTTACTACAGGAAAATCTTTCGTTTCCACTCGAAAACACAATAACTCGTTCGAGTCATCTGGCTAAAAATATTAAGTTTAACAAGGCCTGCAGAAAAGTCCTCAATATCAAGCATGAGTCTATATCCTAGGGTACACTCGCAATAACAATTCATATTGTAAAAAAATATGTAAATATGTTGGGACATTAACACACAGCACACACACACAGCAGCGTAAGCTACGTGGCTTATGTTATGGATACCAGATAGCTGATACACTACACATATATAACTTTTAAATACATGCATATAACATTCATGGCTGAAGTACAAACATTTGTGCTCATCACACAAATCAATGCCCCCAGCGCTGGCGCAGCAAGTAGAGTAACTACAAACTGAGCCAAACGTATCGTCAGAATCTTAAAAACGCACCCGAGCAAAGTGAGGATAAGTCGCGAGTCTTATAAAATACTTTCCAAGAAATTCCACTCAATAATATAGGAAATACTTTTTGTAGAACTAAATTATATAATAAAAGCTCACAAAACACATCGAATAAGTATTTGTATAATATTCAATGCATAAGATAATACTACTTTTTGTATCCCTTCCAAGGCTCCCGGTCCTGAACCCAGATGGCAAGGTGTGTTTGATGCAATAAATGAAAATGTGCAATGTTTACAAGATCCTAGAATAGGAAAGCTTGTAGGGGAAAAAGAATGTCTTGTTGTAAATATTTATACCCCAATGGATGCGAGAGTTGGGACAAAATATCCAGTCATGGTGTTCATACATGGAGGAGGTTTCTTAGAAGGTTCCGGTGGCAGCGCTATGTATAGTACATATTTTCTAGTCACTAAAGGTGTTATTGTCATCACTATAAACTATAGACTCAATATCCAGGGATTTGGATGTTTGAGGATAAAAGAAGCTCCTGGAAACGCTGGAATGAAAGATCAGGTAGCTGCTCTAAGGTGGATTCAAAGAAATATTGAAGTATTTGGAGGAGACCCCAACAGTGTCACTATTTTTGGAGAAAGTGCTGGAGCGGCATCCGTATCCTTACATATACTTTCCCCAATGTCTAAAGATTTATTCCATAAAGCTATCATGCAGAGCGGATCTGCTTTGGCATCATGGGCAATACAATTCAAACCAGTTTTTATGGCTAGTCTATTAACAAAAGTAATGGGATACTCAACTATAGATCCCTATGAAATTTACAAAATATTGATTACAAAATCTGATGAAGATTTAATATTAACTAAAATACCTAGAAAAGAAAATAACATTATTTTATCCGAATGCCTTTATTCACCATGCGTAGAACATTTAATAGATGGTGTCGAGCCTTTTTTAACAGATATGCCATATAACTTGCTTTCTAAAGGAGCATATAATAAAGTTCCAATAATGATTGGTTTTAATTATGCGGAAGGATTATTTTTCGCAAACATGGAAACCGAAGGAATGATACCTAAAATAATGCTAGAGAAGTCATTACCGAAAAATTTAGAAATACCACATGAAAAGCATAATGAAATTGGCGAAAAACTAATGAAGTTTTATGGGGCTAATGAAAAAATATCGCCTGAAAATTTGGCAAATATTTCAAGATTCTATGGTGAAGCATATTTTACTGTACCAATTTTGGAAGAGACCGAAATGTATATGGAGACGAATAACCATCCTGTATATAGCTATATTTTTAAATACGAGGGCTGGAGAAATTTTTTTAAAAAAACATTACGAAAAGAGCTTAAGAATAAACCAGGTGCTACTCATGCTGATGATATTTTCTACTTGTTCAATATGCCAACTGTCCCATCGTTATTTGAAAACGAGATGATAGATAGAATGACGACGATGTGGACAAACTTTGCAAAGTATGGGTAGGTATTGCCGTGTTTTATTTTATACTAATTAATAACTTGTTTCTAATTATTTACATTTGAATAACAAAAACTAGCAAGGACATAATAATATAATAATTTTCACAATAAATATGTTACATCTAATAACTAACTACATTATATACTCGAGTGATATAAAAGGATGTGTTAAGTTTTTAATTAGTTGGGAATTTCTTGATAATTAAGGCTAAATTATACGAAATTTATATACATTTATCTATTTTTAATGATTTTAATTCTTCTTTAAAAATTATAGGTCTAAAAATCAGTAGCAACATTCAGTATTTTTTGTAACTTAAATTACTTAATTAAATTGTAAGCTTAAGTAAATTATATGAGTAACTTGTCACATTTTTCAAAAAGCCTCAAACTCAAGTCAATAAAAACAGAAAAAAAGAAGATTCAAAACTTATTCTTTTGGCATATACCACTACTACTCTATCATATCTTCTTTATCAAAACTCATTTAATCTACAAATTAAACTATGATTATTGTTACATTATTTAAAACGAAATAAATGTTAACAAAATCTATATTTGATATCAGGAAAAAGGATACTTTCTAATTAATATTAATTTCATTTCAGGGATCCTACACCAGAAATATCTGATATACTACCAGTGAAATGGCTACCAGCAAACAAAACCTCTCCTTATTCCTTCGTCATCGACAAGGAGTTCTCCACCACTCCTCTGTGGACCACTGATTCTCTCAAATATATACGAGAATTGTTTGCCAAGTACAGAAGAAAAAAGGACTAATTATAAAAATATCTATATGATGTATACATATACATATTTTTAATTTTATATAATATATTAAATATATTTTTTTTTATAAGAGCTTGTTTTTCGTTACCTTCAAGACTTTTTCTCTCAGACTTTTTTAAGTTATGTCTTTTCTAAATATTTACAGTCTAAAATTCATTCATTCTTCATATTTTTTCTTATTTTTCTCTTTGATAAAGGCCATATTCTTGCAAATAGAAAAAATAGATAATATAAAAATAGAAAAAATCCAATATAAATATACATACAGTATTTGGTTTTTATCTATCGCAGACGATTTTCAAACGTTTATCAAAGCTTATTGGCGCCAAAAAAATAGAACTCCATTTATTCAATACTAGCGATATACCCTCGCTTCGCTCGCGTTCGTCCTTGGGTACGATTTAACGGTTACTATGAAATAAAAATCTTTGAATTTCTCCGCTTTTCTGTACTATAATATGCATGTTAAAATCTTTACTCATATACAGTGTGTTTGAATTACTCATAGTAGGAACTTTGCTGGTTTGTGTAATATGTTATCTGTTATGTGCCTACTTATGTTATAAAATACTGTGTTTCCCAAATTAAATAAATAAAAAATAAAAATATATTATATATATAAACCTTCCTCTTGAATCACTCTATCTATATATTGCTGAAAACTGCATTAAAATCCGTTGAATAGTTTAAATGATCTAAGCGAACAGACAGCGGAAGCGACTTCATTTTATACTATGTAAAGATTAAAACTGATTCCATATGTTTTTTTCTCACATATTCAATTCACTGAGCCTATAAATACAAATTGTATATTTCTAATTTTTAATAATCCAATAAATAAAACGCCAGTTCTAAAAATAATAACCCTAATGTTACGGGTAATATTTCAAGATGCAAGAATGTCGTCGTATAAAAAAAATAAAATGGATGTTCCATCCCTAAGTATGTATTGTCCTTTTTAACGTCCTACTGCTGGGCCTTGTGCCTAACACGAGCTCTGGTTGGCGAACTTTGCATATCTTTCGACAACTTGCTGACTTCTCTCATGCATGTAGGTTTCATCACGATGTTTTCCTTCACCCGAAGACAAGTGGTAATCGTGTTGAAAGTGATTCGCACATAAAAATATCAGAAACGTGGACCCGGGATTTGAACCCACTTCACTTTCCCAAACTAGCCCGTTACCATTGTCGGCTGTCAAATACAATATTAAGAAGATGAAACTCCCGCAGAACAATCGTTATCGGTCAATTGGTGCTTTGTTTATTGTTAATTATCTTCAAGATGTAAGTAAGTATGTATAATACAACTACTTGGTATTGGACTAAAAAGATGCTATTTATACACTATCAGGTAACAGCCTAATCTGTGACCTTCCACTCGATACACTTGCCACTTATAGATTGAATGAAAATTTAGTTTTTACCCTAGATACTACTCTAGATTTATGTATGATAGTTTAGGCTCTAAACTAAACCCTTATTGATACCCTTTGCTGTTTCTTACTTATGAGAAAAAGGTTTCTCGTCTATGGTGACTTTGAAAACTAAATACAGAAATCGTCTGTTATCACTCGAAAATAATTTACTTATGAGTGTTTGCAAAGATGATTACGTATACTTTTAAGTGAGAAACAATGCCAAATATTGCATTCATTAATTAATGTTCATGATTAATCATTTTATTGAAATAAAGCTACTAGTTTATTTTTTCATGTTATTTATTACATCTTAATATTTACATACCTTCAATAAACGAATCTTTTGTACCTATATGTAGTTTGTATTTATTATTTTTTAAACAGACAGCGGCCCCCTTTAAATACAATCTCAAACGCCCCCCCAACTCCCCCTCCCCTAACCCCCCCCCCTCCACTCCCCTCTCCCCCTCACCTCCCCTCCCCCTCCCCCGCCCCTCCCTGTCCCCCTCCCCCAAGAGAAACAATGGTTTAGAGAAAAAAAGCTATAGAATCTAAAGCAAACTATAGAATATATAACTTCAAAATAGTTGCCAAAATTCTACCATTATAATAATTTCGTAGTTAAAGAAACCTTTAAACTTCATATCGCTACGGTTTAGCCAGCAGAAGTCTAAATTTTTTTATTCACTTATTCTAAATGTCAGACGCGAGACTACTTCATAAATAAAAATCAATCTTTAAAAAATTAAAGTGAATACTTTCAATTTTTTTTAATACAAAGTATTTGCTAAACTTTGGATCATATTATGTTGTAAATTTATTATAACATATCTTTATCTTCCCTCCTCAGCTATCTGTACTCAATGATAAAGATATATTGACATCATTATATAATATTATATACATCATTATATTAATTTTGTTAGTTTGTTTATTTTGAAATCATCTCTACGTATGTATAATAAAATTCTAACTGAACCGAATCTGTACATTAATTTTTTTTATCTTATTGAAATAGTCATTATGATACAGAGGCAGAATCTATAGTTTTTGGGATTTTTTTCTGTCTGTCCGATAACGCATCACGAGAAAACTACTAGACAAATTTTGTGAAATTTGGTATGAATATAGCAGGTTATCCAGAGCAACATATAGGATACTTTTTAATGTGGGAAAATATATAATCTTTGAGAAATCTATATTAAATGTTAAAACATGACCAGGGCCTAACAAAAGCAAAGCGAGAGTTAGTCGCTAGTATATTATATAACTACTAAATGTGACTGACCTTTTATATGAGAGTGTCTATATCGAAGAGCTCAAAGCTTTTTCAATTTTTTTTCGTCTACTTGATCTCTTTTCCTTTCGCACAAAGAATACTAAAGTACGTAAAAAACTAAAATATATTCCAGACCTGATCCCTATAAGCCACTTCATCGACATATCAAAAAAAGCATGCTCTCTAACCAGTCCAAAGATTTTTCTTTACAAAAATCTATCAACATAGTTTTCATCAAAATATCCTAAGACCCGTTCGGTTCTTTAGCTATACCGTACACTTCTAGAATATACTAAAGGCTACTCAAACATATTAATTGGTAAAACAAAAATAGCAAATAGCTAAATAAATATTAGATAAACAAACCTGTAGATAAGGATATTTGAGAAATTATTAGCTGAAATGGGGTATCTATTGAGGCGGCAAGCAAATTTCCGGCTAACGGGGAGCTTAGGCCCCTTCTTATTAAACCTCTGAATGATACGATCGACTCGCCGGACATTTAATCCTCTCTTTTGACGAATGGATCACCAGCAAATTGATTCTTTTGTTTTTTTGCTTCTATTGATCAAATATTTGTCGTTTCAAGAGTTTTGTTACGTGAGATGGATTTGGACTTACCGTACTATAAATGTTTGGACCGTAATTGATTAGTTTTTCTTGTTTTATCATTTTTGGGTATAAAATAATATATAGGAAATATAAGAAAACAATGTACTGATAGTCAGAAAAGATCCAAAATCTTGATGACCTTCAAACAAGTTTTTAGAGTTATAGGAAAATCTTTATTTAAGATTGCAATTGTTTGTCAATGCAATTTTTTATTGCTTGTCAAATGTCTATAACTTTACCGAGACGTTTGCAGTAAAAACAAATATAAAATTTAATACCTTCAATAACTATAAAAAGATGAATGTATTGTTGGATATATATATACTAGCGGCTCACCCTCGCTTCGCTCGGGTTCGTCGCTAGGTACGTTTTAAGAAGAGATAAATAGTTATTAGCCAGCGCTAGCCATATAATTTTCGTTAATTTTTCTGATGTTTTAATACTTATCATCCTATTCCGGACTAAGAGAAATCCAAAAAATCAAATATCATAAAAATTGGTCCAGTCGTTCTTGAGTTTTATGTCACGTCACACGGGAACGCAATCGAACGGGATAAAAAGTATCCCATGTCCGTCTCCTGGGTCTAAGCTACTTCCCCACCAATTTTCAGCCAAATCGGTTCAGCCGTTGTTGAGTTATAAATAGTGTAACTAACACGAATTTCTTTTATATATATAGATAATTATTTTTAAATAAAATTGGCTCTTGAAAGGATATTAACAATTTAGCAAGTTTTAAGGTAAGATAATCGATCGCGCAACTTCTGGAACAAGAAATGCCAAAAAAGTTTTTTTTCTTGAATACAGGTATTCAAGAAGCACACTTATAGTCAACTAAAAGCTATGTATAATATAAATCTGAAATCTCTTAAAAACGTGCTTTAACCACTATTCACATTCCATTCCAATTAAGTCCATACAATAAAGATTAACGGAGAGAGTGTTTCGGTCGAAAAATCCGCGAAGCGTCGCAAACCCATCTGAAAATACCCTTAATCCGAACCACAGAGTAGTATTTACCATAAGCCCCTGTTATCGGCAGTGCATGGACCTTACGGTACAGTCAGCAATATAATGCTGTGAATACTGAAAGTTTTATATAGGACAAGCTTTCACCGCGGCTTTGTTTACGTGCTAATAAAATAAACATATGTAGTCTATGTCACTACACAGGTCTTCTCCATCTTCACTTCGGAGAATAATTTAATGGAATTTAGTACATTCTGATTTTAGTACATTCTCAATACTCTCTATTTCATAACTAGTTGTTATTGATGTGTAAATATTTTAGGATAAGTATAATTTCATAACCCAACACAGAAAAAATCACTAAAAACCACTAATATGTCAAACTATTTAGAACTAATAAAGCGTTAAAGTCAAAGGAAACGCGCCCCGTCTATCATAGATAATGCAAAATCTTCTTCAAACAATTACAATAATGGTGGCCAAGTTTATAGACCCTTATGTTAATAGTTTAAGCCCGAGATGGATTGTTAACGGTCAGTCGATTTAACCCTCAGAGGATAAACTAAAAAGTGGCGGACTTTACTAACAATAACCTGACCGACTACAAATCTGCCGAAATGACAGCGTTAAGTTATAGACGAAAGAGTTTTCAATGTCTTCTGTATCCACTTGAAATATCTATACATATAATAAAATTGTAAGTAAACC